GGATGCGGGGTTTTAGCTGTTCCCTTCCCACAGGGAGAGCCAGGTGGAGCTGCGGGAGCACATCGACAGCCTGGCCACAGGTGAGCCAAAGCCGGGGGGTCACCCCTGTCCCCCTCCCTCGCTCTGGGGGCTCACCCAAACCCCTCCCCAGAGCTTTGCCGCATCAACGAGGACCAGAAAGTGGCGCTGGACCTCGACCCCTACGTGAAGAAGCTGCTGAACGCCCGGCGCCGCGTGGTGCTGGTCAACAACATCCTGCAGAACGCGCAGGTGAGGGGGGACGGGGCCTTTTGGGGGTCCCTGAGCCCCCCCAGCTGCTGACAGGGGACTTGTGCCGTGTCCAGGAGCGGCTGCGGAGGCTGAACCACAGCGTGGCCAAGGAGACGGTGCGGAGGAGGGCGATGCTGGAGGCCGGGGGCTACCAGGGCAAGTGAGCAGGAATCCCTGCTGATCCCAGCCCGGGAATTCCCCCGTCACCTGCAGCCCAGGGAACCGGGACACTTGGAGCTGCGTTCCCAGGTCTGTGGGTGCTGGAATAAAAGTGACCGAGAGTCCGTGATGCTCCCGCATCCCTGAGGGACCTTGGGGACAACAGAGCCGGGGGGGTCTGGGCACCTCCAGGTTGGATTTGGACACCCCCAGGTGAAATTTGGGAGGCCCAGGTGGGATTTGGGCTGCCCCAAGTGGGGTCTGGGCAGCCCCAGGTGGCTCCTTCAAGTCTTGGATCCTTCTGCTGCAGTTCCACCTGCCCCATTCCCACCTATCCCACATGGAGCTGAACAAGCAGGACACGCTGGAAAGGGGGAACACTTTAATGTGCAGCTTACAAACCAGGGACAGGGGACAGGGACACGTCAGGTGACCGAGGAGGGGCCTAGACCCCACGGTGTTCCTTGGCCAGTGTCCCCTGTCCCTCACTCCTGCGTCTCCATGCTCTCCTCCTCCTCGCCCGCCGCTGGCTCTTCCTGGTTTTCCTCTTCCTCCTCCCCTTCCTTCTTCTCCGGAGGTTTCTCGTACGCCTTCTCCGACGGCGTCACGATCACCCCGTCCCACGTGGACATCTCGGACGCCAGGTCTGCCCCAAGAGGTGACCCTGGGGACCCGCTCGGGGACCCCAGCCCCGTCCCCACCCTGACACCCCCCAGCCCCACTCACAGCTGGCGTCACCCTCCTGCCCCAGGATTTTCCGGTACCCTCCGTGGGAGAGGATGCGGACGAGGGTCTGGGCGGTGTAGCACACCATGTCCTGGGGACAGGGACGGCTCAGTGTGGGGACAGGGAGCACCCCCGGTGTCCCCTCCCCTTCGGGGGACCCCTCCTCACCTGCTGCTCCAGCGTCATCACCGTGTGCACGCGGAAGTTGCCGCTCTCGCACGGATCCGTGATGCCGACGGAGCCGGGCAGGAAGAGCCCGGCCGCCAGGATCTGGAGGCAGCGCCTGCAGACGAAACATTCCGGGTTAAAACCGCGTCCTTCTGGTAAAAACAGCACCGGGAAGCGCCAGCTGGGTGAGCTGGGTTTATCTCCCGGTCAGCCCCCGAGATCCCAGCGGTTTTATGGGAAAACAGAGCCACGGTTTTACGGGAAAACGGGAATTCCTGCGAGGGAGGCGACGCCACGGACCTGTAGGCGATGTTGAGGGCCAGGGGCTGCCGGGTGGGATTGTTCATCACGGCGTAGTGCCCCTGCAGGGGGAAAGGAACAGGAATGAGGGCAGGGAGAAGGAGAATCCCAGCTCCTGCCGCGCTGGGCGTTGGCACCACGTCAGCGAGCCCCACCAGCAGGTCCAGGATCCAGGGCGTGAGCGGCTCGAAGCCGGGGAAGCGAATCCTCAGGTCCTTGAGCAGCCGGATCAGAACCTTCACCCTGCGGCAGAGGCGGGAGGAGGTCGGTCCCGCGCCGGGAGCGCTCCCCGTGTTCCCGGGATTCGGGATCTGGATCCAGCCCCGGACTCACGTGGACTGCGAGGCGTTCTCCTCGAACCAGCGCGCGTGCCGGATGGCGGCCAGGGCGCTCTGCAGCACCTTGATGTCCACTGCAAGAAGCAGAAATGGCCGGTTTTCCCAGGTGGCCCCGGGCGCGGCCGCGGGCGGGAGGAGGCACGGCCGGGCGCTCACGGTGCAGCTCCGGGTCCAGCTTGCGCAGGTTGGGCGGCACCGTGGTGATCAGGATCTTCACCGTGGCGTCGGCCGAGCTGATCTCGAAGCCGGTCTCGTTGGTCAGCATGGTCAGGACTGCGGGGAAACACCGGGAATTCCGCGTGGAGGGGCTGGGAATCTCCACGGGAACGGCCGTGGATCGCAGCCCGCCACGCTCCGGAGCGCGGCCGCACCTTCCCCGGGGTCCTGCGCCCGCAGGCTCTCCACCACCTTGTTCCCCAGGGCCGCCACGGCTTCCACTGCGGAAAAGAAGGAAAAGGAGAAGGGTTGGAGCGGGCCCTGGCAGCGAGGGCCGCTCCCATCCCGCCCGGATGGCGCTCACAGGTGGGCAGGATCTTTAGGATCACCACCAGATCCGCCACGTTGTGCCCCGTCGTCATCGTCCCCTTCTTGTAGGAGCCCACCTGGCGAACCTCCTCGATTTGCTGGCGGAGAAAACAACCCAAAATCCCAGGAAATCAGCCCACATTCCATGTCTGGGGGGGCTGCATCCATCCCTAACCCACCCTGGGCCAGGAGCACCTTCCCAAGCTCTGCACTCACCACTTCAAACGTTCCCGGGGCCACAATTAAATTGTCGATGACGTTGTTGATCTTGGTCACCAGGGACAGGATGGAAGCCTGGGAAGGAACAGGAGGGGGATGATCCAGGAGCAATCCCGTTTGCAGAGCACAGAACCCGTGTTATTCCCCACCAAACTCCTCCAGGGTGCTTATGCCGGAGAAATCGTCAATTTTGAGGCCACTCCTGAAGAGCTTTGGGTTCCATCCCGAGGATCTGGGGGGATTTTGGGCACGGCACCTGCTCGGCAGCGGTGGGAGCCAGGTCCTGGTTCCTCTTGAGCAGAGCCTCGCTGAAGGCCGTCTCGTCCGCCGCGGGTTTGACGCGTGGAAACGCCATCTCACACTGGAACAGAAGGGAATTCCCAGCGGGATTTCATCCTCCCCTCCTGGCAGCCTGCACAGGGGTCCAGGAGCTCCCACCTGCGCGGCTCCGGGGCAGATCCAGAGCCTTTTATTAACTCTATTAAAGAATTTATTGGGTTAACTCATTAACCCGTGTTGTCTGCAGCCCCAGGGCACTGGGGTCACCCGTCCAGAGGGCAGAACGCTCAATTTGGGAAGAGGGAATGATTTCCTCCTGGGAAACAGGTACACGAACACCTGAGAGGGGACAAACTCAGGGATTTATCTGCTATAATCCCAAAAACCCCAATCCTGGAGTCATTGCTGTCATCATTCCTCCAGTGCCTTCCATTATCCCGTTTCCAACAGCACAAAAACCTCCTGCGGGTTTTTTACTGAGCCAACAGCGTTCTGAGGGGATTCATTCCATCCAGCCACACCAGGAGAACCCACCCCCCGAAACTCGGGGACGGGGGAATCCTTAACCCTGGAAAAGTCCTGGGAAATTCCCGGAACGGCCCTCGGGGCAGGAGCTACTCACGACATAGAAATCGAAGGGGATGTGGGGCACAAAGGGCCGGAACCTGAGAGGGAGAGAAAACCCCAATTCATTCCCC